AAGGCCTCTGAGATTAAAAAAAAAGTACAAGCCTAGGTAAGAAGAAAGAAAAAAATGAAAAAAAATAGAGAGAAAAAAAGTAGTAAAAAAAAATATTAGAGTGTAAAAAGAAGTCCCATCTAAAGACTAGAAAATAGATCATGATATATAAAACTTAAAAAGTATCTAATCAAATGGCTTAAGCTATTTTGACAAAGTATACTATCCTTAAACATACTTAATATAATAAATCTAACATTGTTTACCATGATAAATACTTTTTTTTTTATCATGGTTGAGTTGATTATTTGAGAAAAATTTTAAGATGCTACAAGTATGTGTACATGCATAAAAAAGGAAGTTAATGTATACCCTATTAGAAAAATATAAATTAGTAAAGGATTGTTTATTCCTTTCTAAAATAATAAATTAGTTGGGATATTATTTTTGTAGCTCAATTTAAAATTAATAAGAAAAGATAATGAGAGGTTGTTAATTGTTCTCTAAAATAAAATGATTAGTGAGGCTTTTTAATACCTCTTTAAAATAAGAAAATTAATGAGAAAGTAGCAAGCAATTTTGTATTTCTTTCTAAAATAAAATAATTAATAAGAGAATTAGTGATACATTTTTATACATATCTAAAAATAAATAATTAGTGAGAAATATAGAATGAATGTAATAAGGAATTCTATCCCTAACCAATAATTAAAAAAAAATTTTAGCAATGACTTTTAATAATATACTCAATTATTTTCATTTTAAAAATAAAATCAAATTTAAAAAATAAATAAATCTTTAAAACAAAATTATTCAATATTTAATAGTATTCGTTTCATTTTAAGTTCATTTTCCTACTAAAAATAATATTTTATTAAAAAATATAATATAAGGATCATATAAATGTAAATACCATAAATTATTTTATTATATTAATAATTAAAAATAAAATATAATATGTATGTGTATTAATAAATTATTTAATATATGTGTGTAGTTAAATAATAAATATTTAATTTTTTATATAATAATTATAAGTATATTTCAAGTCAGCTGGAAAAAAAAGGTGGCATAAGTTTTGGATAGTAGGAATTCAAAAGTTGAAGTCTTGATATTTAAAAAATTTATGAATTTGGGCTTGATTCATATTTAAATCCATATTTTTATTATAATCTTTTTATAATTTTAAATCCTTTCTACATTCTAATTATTTGAAATTCTAGTTACTTAAGCTCTCTCATCTTTTTTTTTTTTTTTTCATTTCATATCTCCCTTTTTCATTATCATTGAATTTGAATTTTTTATTATCCAAACAAAAAATTAAATATAAAATTTTAAAAATTTAAATTCACCAATTCAATCATTAGAGGATCCTCATGCCCTCACATGCTCAAGAGAGATATAAGACTACATATAAATTTTAAATTTTAAATTTTAAATCCATGCACTTCCTTTCTCCGCAATCTCATGTTTGTATCTGCAATGTGTGTTCTTTACAATTATGCTGCTTCCCCTTACTATTATGCCGCAAAATTGTAAAAGACATACAAGTCAAGCTCATTTAGCTAGTAAGCGCGCGCGTGCGCGCGCACACACACATATATGCTGGCCAAACGAAAAAAAAAACACGGACATACATACTCTGTGTGTCATATGCATGTTGTATACCTTTTTATCATAAGCTTGTTTTATTTTTTATATATGTTAGATTTACCTAACAATATTGGAGTAGCAACCGGCCTAAAGATTAGCGTACTAATCATGACCTCAAAAAGCTCAACAACTTCCCCAAAGATACAAAGAGACGCACACCTGGCCTTGCATTTGGGAAGCTGACTTGCTTACTTCTGTAATTGAAGAATTCCAATATTGTATGCTTCAACATGACAAAGGCCAACGCACATGTGTAACACACACACACACACACACACACACACACACACACACACCCCTTCTAGTCATTATTTTCCATAGGGATTTTTTTTTGTCCTAATATAAGGTATTGATAGGTTATTAATCACATTTTCTCAATATTTCTCCTGTTTATATTTTTTAACTATAAGAGGGAATGTAATGCAAATTTAAAATTTTTCATTTAAATAAAGATAAAATTTGAAGTTTATTATATTTTAAAATAAAGTTAATGATTTAATTACTTCTCAATTTTGGTGAAGTGTGTCTTAGATAAAAAACAGAGGTAGTACAAATATAACCATTTCACATTTGGATCAATTGGAAAATGATTGATTTCTCTGAATCAGAGATCTTGAGTTTAGAGAGAATACCTTGTAAACAAATCAAAGTCACAATATAATCACCATCATTAATAACTGCATGAATAGGGAGGTAACTGAGGAGTTTGAACTCCAAGTTCAGGGGAAAAGTTTTCTCCATCTTCTAACTTCTGTACAGTTTTAAATAATTCAAGCTTCCTCGCATTGATACACTTTGAATAGGACATTGTTATACTGTTCAAATTATTCGTTTCAACGATACAATAAATAAAGAACCAAGAATTTAGGTGACAACTTCATCAAGTGTGTGTGTGTTTTGAAGAATGAAACAAAATCTGTATAAAAAAGTGGATCTGCTTTTCTATTTCGAACCCCTGACAAAAGGACCACAAGCATTATGCTTCCACACGCATCAAGTAGATCTCTTTTCGTTATTCAAGGTAAATTAGTTAGGACCACACAAGCAATATAACACATGTAACTGATTATTCTAATCGAGCCAGTCCATTTGCATATCTTTGATACTTTTGGAAAATGACTAACATGATCAGCATGATCAAATAAGGTTTCCACTATGCTCTGATCTAAATGAAATATAGAAATTCATTTCACAGTCTTTGTTGCCTCACAGAGGACAGAAACAAAGAAATCATATGCTAAAACAAGAGGGAAAAGAGATGAAGAAATATGAGGAGAATTTATTCGTTGATAAATTTCATGAGTCGCAATCTCATCTGTAATAAATGTACAGTAGAGTTGTTTAATCAACTGCTCCATGAGAGCCTAAAACTTTCCACAATGATATCGGCAATGCCACAAAACTGATTCATTTTAATTAAATAAAGCATGAACAAGAGGTGTTTCTTAATCAATCATCACTCATTCCATTCTAATTAAATAAAGTAATGAGCCTAAAAATCTTCAGAAACACACAGCACAGTGGAGGGCATAATAGGAAGGGAAGGGATGCGCTGTAAGATAGAGACTGAAATATTTTAAGAGGGGACAGCTGCGATTTTTGGGGTCACTCTACGTGATATTCTCTTAGTTGTTGAGGCCCGTTGGATTTTATCTGCCCTTGATGTGCTAATGGGAAAAGCCCAAGTCCTATTTTATTTGATTCATTATTATTATTTATTAATATTAAATTCTTAATCAGGGAGGGAACAATTTTTTCTTCATGAGAATAACTGATAAATATGGTTCCTCTGCCTCTCAATTTGCTCTCTGTCAGTTTGTCAACGTATTTTCTGCGAAAACAAAAGTTAGAATCCGTAAGTGATTCTTCCATCTACAATGGGTTGAAGTTTCAGGAGTTGGAGTAGAGTTTCAAGGGCTAACTAGAGTAGAGGTAATTCATTCTGACCTTTTCAAATCTTACAGGGCCAACTGCCTCCACAAGCTTTCACATACTTACGTCCTTAAATTGAAACAGATGATGATATATGGATGGAAAACCATAGGCAAAGCAAGCTAGGCTCAGAAACTATTATTGGTGCCTTTGTTGCATCACGTGCATTGCCGTCTTGCATCAGGTGGGTTTGAAATTAATATGCATATGCACATATATTTGGAGACTTGTCTTTTGGAAATGACAAGCTGTTTTACTGACGTAGTGTTTTATATAGGAAGAAGGTCGATTGGCTAAGAATTGGGATGTAGTGCTAACTTTATAGAATTAGATAATTGAAGGATTAGTCATACAAGCAAAAGGCCTAATTATAGTGTAATATATTTATGCTATGTAAGGCTATCTTGGTGCTGCTGTGATTGGGAAAGTGTTTGCAAGTGATTTAAGCACAGTGATTAAAAGTGTGTTTGGTGTAACAATTTTGATAATGGCTTGTAAAGTAAGTTCCTATCAATTTTTAATTTAGATGAGTTTAAGGAACTTCTAAAAATTAAGAGAATTCTAACTTGTGAATCCCTTGATTGGGAGAACACAGCAAAAAGAATAGGGTGAGGTTCAAATTTTGGTTTTCTAGGATTAAACCTTTAATAAGAAGGGACATTCTGTCTGGATAATCCCTTTAGAAAGCATCATGGTCTCATTATTCTGAGAGGATTAAGCCTTAGAGGACATTAATCTGTATCTGGAGATTATATTTATGACAAAGTGCTGCAATGAAAGCTCACTCGTTGGATTATGTTGTCTTTGTTAGTTGGTGGTCCATCAAGCTGTCAAGCATCTTTCTTTATGCAAGCCTTTGTCATTTTAACACAATGATTCGGATTAGGACTATGCATGGGATTGTCCTAGTGACCAATCCTAATCACGGAAACACGTTGAGTTTTACTATAACTCATGTCTCATCTCAAAACTCAAAAGTGACCTTGTTATCTATCAAAATAAAATTGAACATGGAGGGAAACTTATCTAAAAAATTGCGACCATGATATATTTCTAATAAAAACAGCAATACATCACAAAAAGAGGAGAGACAAAAGATCAATCAAGGACGAACCTGTTTTTAAAAGTGTGGGGAGAGCAAATTTCATTTAGCTCCCTGAAATTTACTTCTCACACCCCTCACCCACTACAACTTTCATTTGAACTCCCATAAAAACAAAAAAGAATCACATTTACTCTTATTTAAATTTTTAAGACTTCATGTATATATATATTTGAAAATATAATTTTTTTTTGTATAGTCCGAAAATATTATTTTTCACTCACATATAGATAATAAAATCCCAATAGATCGATTATTCGTAGGGTTCTAGCCCACAAGTTGATGGGCCAAGCCATGTTAGAAATGAGAGTGAGAAATAAAAGATAAGAAAGGCCTGTTTTCTTAATGAAGCAGCCACACTCAGTTTCTTCTCGTCGTCATGGCCTCCCTCTGATCGGGCTTCACTCTGCTTCCGCCTTCCAGACCCTTACTCTGCTCGCTGTCGCTGAACCTCGTCCCGCCTTGCGTTGTTCCAGCGTCGTCATCTTGCCGTCGTCTTTCCGTCGGCCGTCTCCGGTGAGTTTCCCTCTGTTTTCTGCTACCTTATCATGCCGCCGTCTTGATGAAATCATGTTTATTGGACTTGAGTGTTGCTAGTCTGATTTCTCAAATTCTTCTATACTAAATCTCTTTCAGAGAAAGTGAAGGAATTGTATTTTCCTGGTTTAGTATTACAACTTTGAGCTCTCATAGAAAGTGAATACATGTTAAGTGGTGCCTTAATGTGTGTGCTTACGATTTCGAGCTTCCATAGAAGGTGAATATATGTCAAATGGCGCCTTATGTGTATGTGTTTAATCATACAGATCTCATCGTTTCATTTATTATGTTATCTATCCAGTAATAGTTCAAATGAAATGGATATATATATGGAGATAATAAGTGGGTCCGGGGTTGATTCCATGTAAATTACGGAACGGAACACGCCGCTGAACCAGCATAGGATTGTATTCTTCCTTCTTCGTTCGCCGTTCATTTATAAACTAGGCTAGGGTTTATTTTTTCGTATCCTGTGTGTTCCTTTGTTGCCGAACATAACTTCCGGACAACAAAAATAAAAACGACATCTTATACACTTTTCCCCCTTTTTGGCATCAGCAAAGAGAGCTAATCCACACTCTCAGTGGAAATAGGAGTGCCTGAACATGGATTTTCATTCCTCTCACGATAGTGTTTTGCAATATCAGCTATGGTGGTTAAGGTCGGAACTTCAGTCAGAACAACTTGCTGCTGCAATGCTCGAGGAAAACGAAGAGCTTCAACTTCAAGTTCACCTACAAACCATTTATGTTGTTTGGCTAGATACATGATGTAGACTGACAGTTGAATAAGAAATTTTTCTAGAGCAGATGCTTGTGTTGAAGGCAACATCGAAGTTGATTTTGATCCAACCTGATTGTGGGGTGATGGTTAGCTAACTGGAACCAGATGAAGGGCAAGCAAAAGCTTCGCCAAGCTATAGACTTTTTGTACTCCTGTGGCTGTGCAACTTCTGAGGCATATACCCGTATTGTGATTGATTGTGTTCGATCCAATGACATCTATCAAGCCAAGAGATTGCAAGCTCACATGGAGCGTCACCTTTTTCAACCCACTGATGCCTTTGTCCATAATCAATTCCTCCATATGTATGCAAAATTTGGAAAGCTTTCAGATGCTCAAAATCTGTTTGATAAGATGACCAAGAAAGATATTTATTCTTGGAATGCGATACTTTCAGCCTATGCAAAGTTGGGGTTGGTTGAGGATTTGTGTATACTTTTTGATCAAATGCCTTATCGTGATTCTGTTTCATACAACACTATAATAGCAAGTCTTACTAACAATGGGCGTTCAGGAAAAGCTTTGGAGGCTTTGGCACAGATGAAGAAAGATGGGATAGAACCCACAGAGTACACCTATGTCAGTGCGTTGCAGGCATGTTCTCATTTATTGGATTTCAGGCTTGGGAAACAGATTCATGGGAGAGTTATTGTAGGCAATTCCACGCAAAATGTTTATGTGTGTAATTCTATCATTGATATGTATGCCAATTGTGGGGACATTGGTAGGGCAAGGAAGTTATTTGATGGAATGGTCGTTAAAAATGTTGTTTCATGGAATCTGATGATTTCTGTATATGTGAAAAATCGGAATCCTGATGAGTGCATTCATTTGTTTGATAAGATGCAGTTATCAGGTTTTAAACCTGACCAAATTACTGTTTCAAATGTTCTCAATGCTTACTTTCAGTGCGGATGTGTAGATGATGCAAAGAAAATGTTTCACAAAATAATGAAAAAGGATGAGATTTGTTGGACTACAATGTTAGTTGGTTATGCACAAAATGGGAGAGAAGAGGATGCTTTGATGTTATTCTGTGATATGCTACATGAAAATATTCAACCTGACAGTTTCACCATCTCAAGTGTGGTGAGCTCTTGTGCCAAACTAGCTTCATTGTACCAAGGTCAGGTTGTTCATGGAAAAGCCATTCTTATGGGTGTTGATGATAACATGCTTGTGTCAAGTGCTCTAGTAGATATGTACTGCAAATGTGGAGTCACTTCAGATGCTTGGGTCATTTTTGAAGCCATGCCTACTCGTAATGTTGTTACTTGGAATGCCATGATTAGGGGTTATGCACGAAATGGACAGGGTTCAGAGGCTGTAGCCCTGTATGAAAGTATGTTGCAGGAAAAGTTAAAACCTGATAATTTTACCTTTGTTGGTGTCTTATCCGCTTGTATCAATGCAGATATGGTAGAGCAAGGACAGAGGTATTTTGATTCTATCATTGAACATGGCATGACACCCACTTTGGATCACTATGCATATATGATTACTCTCCTTGGTCGGTCAGGTTATATCAGTGAAGCAGTGGATCTGATAAAAGTTATGCCTCATAAACCAGATTATTTAATTTGGTCCACTTTACTATCAGTTTGCACTGCAAAGTGTGACATAAAACATGCAGAGCTGGCTGCTAGGCATCTATTTGAATTGGATCCGCTTAATGCTGGACCATATATCATAATCTCCAACATGTATGCTGCTTGTGGGAGATGGAAAGATGTAGCTGCCATAAGATCTCTAATGAAGAGAAATAATGCAAAGAAGTTTGCTGCATACAGTTGGATTGAGATTGAAAATGAAGTTCACAAGTTTGTTTCTGAAGATCGATCTCATCCAGAGGTGGAAAAAATCTATAGCGAACTGACTGGCCTGATCGCAAAATTGTGGGAATTTGGGTATAATCCAGATACAAAGATTGTTCTGCATGATGTAGGGGAGGAAGAAAAGGTTAGATCCATCTCCTACCATAGTGAGAAACTAGCTCTTGCATTTGCATTAATGAGGAAGCCCCATGGTGTTGCACCCATAAGGATCATAAAGAACATACGTGTTTGTGATGACTGCCATGCTTTCATGAAGTCTGTATCCTTGATGATTGGACGGCCAATCATACTGAGAGATTCGAATAGATTTCATCATTTCATTGGTGGAAGCTGCTCCTGCAAGGACCATTGGTGAAGTCTTAGATGGTGACCTGCTGAGCTATAATGGTATCTAAAATGAATATAGACGTTGGCAAAAAGAAAAAGAAACGAGTATAGACAAATACAACACGCAAGTGTATCCCCTCTGAAAATATTTTATGCGAAGTAAATAGCCAATGCTACTGTTCTGGAGGCTTCATTTAAGGATAAGTTCATGTTAGTAGACCTTTTTAGTGGAAATGGATAGGGAGGGGAAGAGTATGGAAACGAGGACCTCACCTCATTTCATGGGTTGTTTGGTAGGGAGGCAAAGGAAGAATAAAATGGTAAAATTGCACATTTACCATTTAGCAAACATAAAACACAAGATTGGGGTTTAGCCTCTTTCTTATTCTACCTTGACTCGCATCTGACTCGGTTCAATTCATTCCCTTTCCAAACTGTATAACTCAATTGCACCCGCATAACCATTCTTGTAGTTAGCCTACCACCTGTTTGCTTTAATGTTTCATCCATATGAAATCATTTCGATGGAATTTATGGCTTACCAAGCTGAGACACGCCTCTTTTACTTGTATGCGGTTCATCACACCAAATATAGTCTTTCGTATTTGGATGGTATTTGTAAGTGGTTGGAAGTTCTATGGCTCCTATGGTAACTGATTCAATATTGAAGATTTTAGCTCTGCCTCTGATGAATGCTGATGTTGATATTCCCCAAATCCACCAAAGGAAGTGACATGCCATACTAGGTAAAAGAAAGCCAGAAAAAGGACTTCGATTCACATAAGCTCAAATTGAACAATCCATCTAACGTCAACAAGAGAAATATTGCATACGAAGCCATACAACCCCTTATCAGCCAAATTTGGTTCCGAACGAAACCGCCAACGGAAAAGAATGCAAGTTTGTAATGTGAGTCTATAATGAATGAAGATCAGCGTGTCCTAAACATACACTTCCCACGACAACACGATTCAGATTTCCCCATACGAGTTGTGAGGGAGTCTCCAGGCCTCAGATGCCGCCCATGATGTTGCTGCAGTGAGATTGGGAGGTTCCATTGTAGGGATTGTGAGAGAATAGGACTCATCAATGTCGTGGTGGAAAACCTTGCATGAAGATTAAAATTTAGCCATGTTTAAAGTCAAAAGGTTTTTACAGTCTTGCGAGAACCACCACACATAATTTAGATATTCATTCAACAATTCAAACAAGTATAAAGTCAATGCCCTTTCAACCGGATTAAAGCTTAGCTACTAACTAAAGCACGCAAGAAATATACTCTGCAGGGAAAAGTTAATCCACTTCTAAACCTCCATCTGAAGTTTGTTTACTGAACTTTTGTTGTGATAGGTCCATGAAGTTATAAATTTCAGACTAGCTAGGCAGGCTCAACCTAGCACAGGTACATAAAATATTAAAATTATCTAAACAAGTTCTAGCAAACCACCCACAATAAATTTAAAAGAAAAAAAAGAAAGACCGAACGTGCAAATGTTGGAATCCTCCTCGTTAGCATAGTAAATACCTTCCAAATCAACCCGTAGAGCAAACATTAACGACGGAAAACAGCAAAAACTGCCTCAGTTAAGTTTTAACTCATTAAGTTGCAGCCAACTTGAAAATTTAGAACTACCTTGGTGGGGTGCGCCTGGCCCATGCAATAGTGCAAGACAAGGGCGACGCTTCCGGGCCCCAGCAGCAAGCCACTGAGATGGACCCAGCCCCTAAAAAAATAAATTTAATATCATGTGAGCCAATGGCCCACGTATCAGATATTAAACTGATAAGAACAGATACTACACTTGATCTTAGCCAAAAGGCCGAGAAAGGTATGGTTATTTCTGTGGTCGTGCTCGGTTTTTATAGGGCCCTCATTCCTTTGCACGCTGCTTCGCTCACCGATGTGGGACTAACACTGAACTTGGACAGTGTTAGTGAGCGCAAGCTTGCGTTGTAATTCACGCCAAGTGAGGAAAACCTGACCTGGTCTCTGTACAAGAACTACTGGGTAATTTTTTGGCATTATTATATAATTGCATTTATATGCATATTTTCGAATTTTTGAAGTCTAGACAAATATACTGAAAAAAGAGAGAGAGTGAAACCTTCCTTCATTGTTACCCCATTATGCTTGTTTAACTGGAAGGAGCATTTCAGTGTACCAAGTTTTTTTCCCCCTTATTATTTAGCATCTTCTAAATATTTTCAAACAGTCACAGTAGCTAGAACAGCTGGGAGATAATACAACTTAAGATAAATAATTGCAAAGTCTCATAAATAAATATTTGCAAATGTCAAATACAAATATAATAATAATAATAATAATAATAATAATAATAAAAGTGGTCCAACGCTCCTATCAAAATGCTTGCAAATGTGGCCTTCTTGTGATCCAACACCAATCTTTGCCCAAAAGCCAGCTTTCTACAGTAAGAGTTTTAAGTTAAATGTGGTTAAACAATTGATCCAATAAAAAATTACAAATATAATAATAACATCAATTAAATAAATAAGTGTACATTGTAAATTAGAGCCAGTAATTCAGGTAAAGTCTGATTAGCCAGTCTGAACTTGCTCGAAAAAAGTTAAGACCAAACTTGATTATATAGACTTTTTTAAGTGAGTATAATTCTTTAAGTTTGATTTGAATAAATCCAACCCGAATTGAGTCCAACTGTTAAAATTTTCAGCTTTATATGTAAAATTGATAGTTTTGACCAAACCAGACGGGCTAACTTGAATATGGTCAAGAAAAGTTAGAATTGAACTTAGCTATACGAACTTTTTCAAGAGGTGCATGATATTTCAAGCTCGATCCAAATAAACCTATTTGAATTGAATCCCACCTTAATAAGCTAGACCTGCTCCAATTACCGACAATTGCAAACATTGCTTCACAAAACCAAACTCTTAACTCATTACAAGTTCACGTGATTCATTTGCCAATTGGTTGGAATTCATCCTTTAATCATTTTCGGGTTGAGTTTCTTCTTCTTCTTGATCGTTCAACAAGCAGATTAGAGTGGCAAAGGTAATCCCATTGGAAAACTGCCAGCTTTATCCACTCTCGATCCTTCACGTAACATCTTACAACTACGATTTTAGATTATGATTCACAACCATGGCTAAACATAGGATAAGCAATAAGGCACATGTTAACTTACTTGAAAACAATAAAGAAAATTAACTTGGAAAATTAAGTGATTGATTCTCCGAAGACATTAATCACGTTCACATAAAATCAGGACGATGACAAATTGAGAATAATACAGAACAATTCCCTGTCTACTTCTAGAGTAAATATTACACGGTTGTCACTAGTTACACACAGGAAAAAAAATGCTTCAATATATCACTTGCTGCAATTTTCTTCTCTCACTTTCACATGGAATAACCTTGCAGCAATCTATGGAAAGGAACACCAGAGACGTTCTCTCCGTGAACAATTCCATGAAGCCAAGACACCATCTAACCTCACACTCTACTATTCAGCCACTGAATTATTTCCTGTGTGACAGCATGACGTTCTGGTTCAAAAAGGAGGTCATGTAACAATCCTTCAAATAAATGGATGGTTTTGTCAGATGAAGAGGCCTCTTCATACAACTTCTTAGAAGCAGCGGGATCAGTGACTGTATCGGCAGTGCCATGAAGAACCAGGAACGGAACTTTGAAATTTCTCAAATTTTGTTGCAAGTAGGTCGTGATTCGGATAATCTCATGACCTGTTCGGACTCTGAGCGATCCAGTACACACTAGTGGGTCAGAATATTTAGATACTAGTGCATCTGGATCTCGACAAACCGTTGAACCCTTTTTATAGGCAGAATTAAATTGATATTTAGGCAGCAGCAATGAAACGATAGGGGCAAGTGCCTGCAATGAAGAAGTATGGAGATTAGACGAATTCCTGATTCTTCTCATTAGTGCACGCGTATGCCAGTATACAATGTTTTATATATCAGCAATATAAAATGAGATGTTCAGCACTTATGGTCAGATAAACTGGAAGGAGCAAACAGAATATGCATTGCTCACCAAGAATATTGGATGAGAAGCCTGGACTCCAACTGCAGGTGAGGTCACAACTGCACCGGATACACAAGCTTCGACCTTTGGGTCCAGCAGTGCCTACAGTACATATAGCAGAACAATATTGAATCCATTTATGTCCTTGAACTTTTTTCCCTTAACTTGATAATTGCAAGAAATTTATTTTATTCTAGTTATACCTTAATAACAATGGCTGCACCTGTTGAGTGTCCAAAGCAAAAACAAGGAAGCCCAGGATTTTCAATAAGAACCTTCTCAAGAAAAACTTTCTGTGCAATGTCAGATAGAAACAATTCTTAATCAGAATAGCTGTAAGGACAGAAATAAAGTTTATAACCATTTGATTAAACTAGGTTCTATAAAATTCTTGTAGATCAGAGAACTTACCATGTCAGAAACAGCGTCATCAAGAGAATGCACGTATCCATGTAGCCCATCACTTCCGCCGTGGCCTGGAGTAAAGAGAATAGCATTAGGTGGATTTTCACAAGAGGAGGAAAAAAGAAAAAACATATTCTGCAAGAGTGAATATAGAGCACTGAAATTTGCTGAACAGGTTAGAAGGGATCATATGGCCTCTTACCAACATATCTGAAACCTACATATGCTTTGCCTCCAAATACCCCAGCCTTGGAGCCTCATCATTATTAACATTCACATTTTAGGACAATATACAGTATAGATTCTTGTTGGGAGTGATCATAGAGATAATAGAAAAATAAGGTCTTGTTTGATTACAAAAAAGGAATGGAATAAAATGAATTTAAAAAATAAAGGTAAAAAAAAGATATGGAGGGGGATAAGTGAACCATTTTTATTAGGGAAAATGATAATTTAGTTCTAGAGGTTAGAAATAATGATTCAAGAGATTTTTAGAAAGTGTGATAATTCCCACATTTGTAATATATAGTATTAAGTTTTATCATGCTCACCATGAAGAAAAAAGGAGATTTAATTCATTTTGGTTTTGATTTTTTTAATCCATTCCATTCTCATCCATTCTAGCAACCAAAACAGGACCTAAGTGAACAGTTCATTACTCCATTTAACCAAGAACGGTTCAAGAACTGCATAAGTAAATTACTGAAGAAGTGTTATTATTTATTAACTAAGCCAAATCTTAATCTAAGAAGAATAATTGAAAATATGAGGAACATGACTTAACTCTCCCCAGTTTTGTCCTAAGAGGCACCTAGGGATGTCAGTTGAACCATTTATATATTCTTCAAAATAAGTAAGCAAGACACTATCATTAATGATGCTAAGGACGACACTAAAAATCAGAATCTGACCAATAGGAACTTCCATTGCCAAAAGAGACACAGAGGAAGTACATTAAAGAGATAAGGTCACACAACACAATCTCTATCACAGTACTATCTCTGTGATAATCATAAATTAAAGAACGGCAGTTTTATTAAAGAAACTGCACACCTTTGGGTTGGCATAGTGCTATTAAAAATAAAAGAATGCAAGTCTCCTCTGAGAAGAAGGAAATAAACAGATATCCACTATCATCAAGTTCTTGAGACCTAATACAATAACTAAACTCCGTTTATGCATTTCTAATTTTTTTCCCCTTGAAGAAAATAACTATAAAATCCTAACAAGCCTTCAGTCAGACCTCAGAAGTAGTCTTGATGACTTCACCCAAGAAAAGCAATCCCTCATAATACCTTGAGAATAATCTTTTCACAGCGATAGCAGGGTAAATGAGGCTATTATTTATCTCCCCCCAGAACTTCTAATCTGAGATCTTAGAATGAACCAACAATTAATACATCCTGGCCTGAAAAAGAGATTCATAAAGAAAATAGGACACCGATCTTCTCAATACACATTAAGTAATGTTCTTTTAGCAGTTTAATATTTTGTATTATTTGATTTGGATTTTTCATATGACTTTTAATTTTAAGCAATAATAATACAAGTGATACATTGAATGAGGACAATAAAATGATGGTGGTCACAAATATGAAATTTTTTTGATTCACATACAAGAACCTAGAACAAAGTACGGTCAATCAAGAAGAATCTGATAGTGCACTGTCATGTTTCCATATGCCTGTTCTCATTTCCAAAAGCCAACTTTTAAGAATATTTGATAGCATAATAAATGCTTAGAAAGTGAACTATCAAGGAATGCAATTTGTTCTGACTTACCAACCCAATCCATCCCGTAAACCTTGAATCCATTAGCATTCAGCTTCTTTGCAAAATCACCGTACCTGCCACTGTTAACGAATAATAGGCTGACTTTAGAAATCAGAACTGCATCAATGATTATATAATTGTAAGAACTGAAATGGTAGCCAACTTGAATTAAGAACAAACTGCAAACCTGTGTTCATTAAGTCCATGCATAAGAAGAACAAGTCCTCTGTACAAAGGAAGCAACAAATTATCACTCCAAATTCTATCATAAAGAATGTGTCTGTATATAATTATACGACAAAAGGGGGTGAAATGGTGAGCATTAAGTAGTGTGATTGGAAAGATAAAATTTGAAAGTCATTCAGAAAAACATCATTTAAGAAAAGGGTAAAAATAAACAGTAGATGCTATGATTAAATTATTTTTTCCAGAAAAGGGAAACACATCGATTAATTTCATGTATAGGGATTCTAACTTAGTTGCTCATAGGTTAGCTACTTATGGTCATATTGTAGATGATAATTTTGTCTCTTTGATCATATGCCATCTTTCTTAGAAGATGGAATATTATGAAAGATTGCTTCTTGTTGTTTTTCTTGAATCTGTTTCTTTTCAGTGAATATAGCAGTATCCAGTTTCATTTAAAAAGGGGGGAAAAAGAAAAAAGAAAAGGAAAGAAAAGGAAAGGAAAACACAAATCTAAAAGAGCATGATGAAAAATCTATTGAAGCATCTTACATATCATTGATCACAATTATAACATCTAACAAAAAGGATCAAGTGTCTGAGAAAGCAGTGAATATTAACCATTCAAGTGGCTATCATAAGAGAACTTTAAGAATCACATTCTCTAGGGACAAGGAATCAGAACAATCAGTTTTAGCATCCACATATTCTATAATCAAGAGCTAAAACGCATAGGATAATGATAAAGAAAATTAAGAAACCTATAATATTATGAAATAACAAAAACTTGAATAGTTTGATCTGAATATTTTCAAGTCCCCATAGGATAGCACATAAATTTTTTTTTTTTTTTGGCCAACAGGATACCACATAATTCATACTCTTTTTTTATTAATAATAAGCCACTTCAAAATTAAACAAGTATCGAACACTCTGAAACATTAATAAGTGCTATCCACATAATTCAAGCACCCCAACATTAATGGTAGCAAGTGCATGCAACAGGGAAAGGCAGGGAACCTTATTGCCACAAATAAAAAAAGGAAAGGCAGGGGACCACAAGGAACAAAAATGGATTCTGAAAAGGACATGAAGATAAGATGCCGCTCCCTACTTGGGCGATGCAAATTTTGCGGTTCGTGACTTTCTAATTAATCCAAAAATCCCAGCAGTAGCAATTGATGAAGACTGGATTATTCCTTCCAAGACATCAATCATACCCAGCTATTCACAGTAGGTGACCGTTGATGACATAATATATTCTTCCAGTATATCAAATATAATAATAATACAGATGCAACCAACCATTCCCAATTCTCTCAGTAGCGTGCGTAAAACAGCCAAGTTAACTTCAACTAGAGGCTTACTCAAGCAAGAATTACTACAGTAAAAGCATCTACTGATGTTATTATCAATAATAACTAAGCTCAATCTTGCTAAATGTGTTCCAGAAACCAGTAGAGCAAGTAATAATTGTGTATTGCATTTTCAGCATGTTGAAGAATACAAACTATTGCTAACCTGATTTTAACCGACACTGGCGTCCAAGATTGCGTGAAGATTGTGTCACCCCTTTTCGTACCGATTAGGGAATACTCTCTCACCGTACTGTGGTCGCTATCCTCCAAAACTCTCCGTATGGCCATCGCTCTCCTTGCCTCCACAGCTTCATCCACCGCCTTCACCGTCGCCGCCGCGCTACTACTGCTACAGCCAACGCTTAAATAACTCTTCCATGACACAAAACCTGTCGGAACTCGCACCACCACCCCCTTCCGGTGATAATCGGTTTGTTTCTCGTCCTTGCTAGGTTTGTCCACCGGCGAGACCCGCCTCGGTCCTCGGAAGGGTAAAAGCAGCAGTAAAACGACGGCATTTATCAGCATTAGCAGGCTCTTCAACAATCGAATAGAAAACAGAGCGTTTATGCGCCCAGTTGCCCCAGACGTTAAAAATAGCGACGACGATCCGTCCTTTCCCATCAAAACCAAAGTCTCGGTCGCCATCGCTTCAATCCCTTGTTCTTCTTTCTACAAAGGAGTGCTTTTTCTTCTCCTTCTTCTTCTTCCCCTGCTTATGCTTCTGCTTTGTCGATGAGTTACAATTTGAGAATCTTACAAAGGTCCGTTTCTTGCACAGATAAAACCGTCGTGGGTCTTGTATTAAAATGTCTCTATCTATATGCCTCCAAAAATCCAAACCCAAATATAGGTTGTAGGGCCTCCTGCCAAATATAGAAGAACCTAAAACTGAATGATTCCTTCTTACATAGAATTGGACTCCACACCAGATTAATGACGCTTTTGCTGAGCTGGATTTATACGAAACAAAAATGAAAACGGAATCGTGGCTTCAAAATCGGTACTGTGAGTTAGACAGCGATCGTTTACTTTTTGAACATCGAGAAACTGCGGTTACATGTATCAGAGATCAGAATACCTCATTTTCTCAGTCCAAATCTGTTGGTGGAGTCTTTGGGAGATAAAGACTTCCAATTTCACGATGATACGTCCGCGAAGCAGACAAGCGAGCATCTTAGGATGGGACGGAAAGATTCGAGAAGCGTTGAATTAGGGGAGAAAAAGGAAAATTGATCTTTTAATTTTTAATTTTTTTAATTTATTTATAATTTAATCTCCTCATTCTAACTCGTTTATAATTTAATTTTTTAATTTTTTAATATACATTAATAAAAAAAAAAAGGGTTCGAGAAGGATCGGTCTCTTTTGGTTTTTTTTTCCACCCCCGATAAAAACTGAAGTAAGAGGTCAGGAAAATGACACGTGGAAAGGAAATCGAGAAGACCAATAACAAAGGGACATGTGTACGAGCTAGTTCAGGCGAATCTCACATATGCGGCGAGTAGGGGCAATTTTGAGGGGGACTTTTTCTATACTCCGGGTCTAGAGACTTTACCACACCTGTCTCCCTCTGGATCTTACACGTGGAGAGCACGTGGGTTGCAATTTTAAAAAATTCCCAAAACTCCGTAATATACTATATGATCCCACCTTCTCTGCCTAAGCCTAAAGTCTTTTGAGGCACAATTTCATGTGTAACTTTTTTTTATTTTCAGTTACAAAAATGAAAAGATCACAGTCCGCGATTTAAATGCCCTTTTTCATGGGCCAACTTTAATGTGTGACATATTGCGACACTAGAAGTCCGTAATCCATATCCATAATTTCAATAAATAATAATTCCATATTTTTCCTTTATTTATTTTTGATTTAGGATGTATTTTTATCTTTAAACTTTTTTTCAATAACATCAAGCACTCTATATTAATAGGTAAAGTAATTTTTTTACTGAACTATTTTTTTGAAGAACCAAAAAACTTCTTTTATTAGTTAACCATTAACTTTATTGTTTTTTACTTACATAAAATTTAATATATGACACAGTACGCAATTCAAATGCTCTCTTTCAAAGACCAACTTTAATATATGACACATTGTGATACTAGAAACCCATAATCTATATCCATAATTTCAATAAATAATAATTCCATGTTTTTCCTTTATTTATTTTTGAGTTAGGATATATTTTTATCTTTAAACCTTTTTCCAATAACGCCAAGCACTCTATACTAATAAGTGAAACAATTTTTTTATTGAGCTATTTTTTCAAGGAGCCAAAAAAATGAAAAAATTTTTTTTATTAGTTAGCCATTAATTTTATTATTTTTTTACTAACATGACATATGCATAAGGCCCACGCATAATAACAAGTAGGACTTTAACTATGTTTTTGTATTAATTTGTATTTGAACTCTTTTTTTCAAAAGTGTTAAACACTTTAACATTTTTTTTTAGGAGTGCTGGATACTCTCAAGTTTTGTTAAAATAAAAGTTAATACATATTAAATATTTTTATATCTAATAATTTAAATATTATTATTTATAAATATTCATCTAAAGTTCATAAATTATTTTTTTAGATATTAACAGTTTAAGTTAGTTTTTCATAAATTTATAAATGACTTATAATTTTTTATATTGTATCATCCAAATTTAATACTTTTTGTATGCTGTAGTGTTAGAGGTAAAATAAAAAACATGACAGATCAGGACTAACATGCCAACAAAAATTCTTAAGGAAAATTATATACAGGTCTCACACAAGAAAATTAAATTGTTATCAATGGCCTTATGTCAGTTGTCAATATACCTCACAGTAATTAATTTTTCTATATGAAACTTCAACGTAATTCTCTTAAATTCTTATTTAAAAGATATTACTTGTCTTATTAATGTGTTACAAAAGAAAAGGCTTAATAAGAGAATGATGAAGTGATGATGGGGAAAATCCCTTCATTAATTTGGAGGTCAGATAAGAAGATTTGCAATAAAAATTTAATAAGATGACTTATAAATAAGTTAAAAAAAATCTTTCCCTACACTATAAACACTATAAATTGGATCAGAAAGAGTATTAATGATTACATCATCTCTCATAGTATTCTTTTTAGTTTCCATCATTCATTCTCCTCCTTCTCCTTGTCACCTTCTTTTTATTGAAGCCTTACATTCATATGCTCCTTTATTTGCCACTTATCAATGATCACAATCTTCTATTAATTGTTTGTTATGCTTTTCTACATTTCTCTCTTTTGATTTTTCATTTATCGATGTGTTAGATTTAATATCTCAATTCATATAAGTCAAATAAGATTGAGTAAAGCAATGTACATACTTGAAGAATTCATGAATGAATGTGAGACCTTGCTCATCTCAAGTATAGGTAGATACACAACCCACTAGACCTTCGTAGTTTGTAGAGAATTCAGAGATAATGGAGAGAGTGAAAAGTATTGTATGTATTAGTTAACGACTAATTGCATTATATAGATCACATCAAAATAACCGCCTTAATAATTAATTAATTAATTAATTAAATCTCACATTATCCTTGACTCAATTAGTAATGAGATAGGGAATAACTAACGATTACAAGGTTGTAGATTTGGCCCCTACCTATTGGGCTCATTTGTGTGGTCTACTTATCATGATCCACACAAGATCATAAAGATCAATATGTTTGGGCTTAATTAATTAATGCAGATCTATAATATTTATAAATATTTGAACAATCTCTCACTTTGATTGCATTAATTAAGCAAGTTATATAAACAAGCCACAAATAAAATTTAAAAAATAAAATTTTACAAAATCACTAGATCCTATGGGAAAACAAGTAATATAATGTCTCATAATTTTAATAAAATATAATATGAAATTTTTATTCTAAACACAATTTAGTAAGATAACAACATAAGATCATTGATTCTTATAGGGAAACAAGTGACATGTATAGTGTATCACAATAGGATCATTGAATCCTATAGGAATACAAATGATATAGACGCATCTAACTGAATTGAACATAAAATGGGTCTTCTAACCATAACTTGATAAAGAGATGACATAAAATCACTAAATTTTATAAGGAAACAAGTGACATAAGGTGCATTAACACAAATCATTGAATCCTATAAGGAAACAAATGATATAATGCACCATAATATCTCTAAACCAAAACTGAAACTCAATAGAGAAATAATATAACATCACTGAATTCCAGGAGGAAACAAGTGATACAAGATGCATAAACATGAATCATTGAATCCTAAAGGAAAACAAATGATATAAAGCATCCCATTATTTTTGAAACAAAATTGAGCATGATAGCAAATTGGCCTTAAACTATTAAATGTCCTTAAAAAGACACAACTCAAATTCCCACTGGACTAAGGTTATCTCAAAAAGATTAATAAAACCCACATGGGTAAGCCTTTAGTCATACAAATGCATAAACATACATTTACTACAGAAGTGAATCTGATAAGTTTGAGTGTCTATAATATTCTCCAATAAAATCTTTGAGAGAAACTCAAGGTAAACAAAATATCGCATTTATAGTTGGAGGAAACAATAAAATACATGTCTAATAAAAACTTCCTTAACTATATAACCTAATAAAAGGCTTTACAACAAGCAATTTATAATACACTTATTTTTACAAGACAGCTCCTCTCTGTATTATGGAATAATAGGATGCGCATTCTAAATCCTTATAGTCACAAATTTAAAAAAGGATCAAATTTTTAACAACCAATATTAGGTGTCATGTATCTTTCGGTATACAAGAATTTTTCAAATGATCTTAGTATTTTTTTTCTTGCTAGGATTTCACAAGTATTTAACAAGAGGTACACAAAGCAAAATCTAGATCAAAGACTAACACATATTTTAGCATCCTTAGAGTCATTCATAGCGAAAGCGTACCAAATTCATTATATGTAATTTTTAAAATGGTCCTCCTCAACATTAATTTTAAGGATGTAGAAACTTAAACAAACTTACACCCCTTAAACAAGTATCAAACTAAGAGTGTGCATTAGATTTGTAAACATTCAATTAAAATAGGTTGTTTGAGACAAATCAAGGTTATAGTTAGACTATTAAAATGGATATTAATCCTTGAATAAATATGTCAAACATAAAATTTTATATCAAGGTGGCACGACCACAAATACGTTGTCTCATTTACATGATCACTAGCTAGTGATTGGCTATTAGTAAGAAGCATAAGAAACAAAAGACTACTTTTTCCCAAACATTTAATAAATATACACAAATCTAAAGTATTCTAAGTAAAATTAAAGAGAGCTAATAGGCTCATCAAACTTTAGATATCACTACCTAGAGACTTGCTTATTCCAAGATATTGTTTTAGATAGTTGCACATTAAATGGTCCTAACTAAATTCTACAAAACCATCATATTAAGGTATTTTAATTCTTTCCCTTAAGTCTTTATTCAATTGAGATAATTTAATGAAAAATTATTATGACATCTATGAGTAATGTGATAATGTCCTCACCATGTACAATAGGAAAGATTTTTACCTTATAACTCTCACCATTATTCATTTGATTAATCATAAATGATTACTTTCAACTAGGTATTACAGGTATACCAACTTTTTGAGATCATCTTAATAAAACTAACTTCACAATATATTTAATAAATTATTTTATTTTAACAAGTGGATTATTAACAACCTTATTTTTATCAAATGAAGTTGATGAACAAATATGCTTAGGTAAATGTGGTACTCTTAACAAGTAAATTAATGGTCTAGGCTTATAACTCTCACTATTTATTTAAAAATAAGATTCAAATTTGTTTAACTTGATAGTGAGTAACAAAATTGACACCTTCTTGATCCTATGCAATAGTAAACAATGAATCCCTTAATAGATTTTGAGATTAAGCTTTTTCAACTAAAGATCTCACTTATGATTTTCAGCATTTATCTTATATTATTTTAGATACTAGATTATTAAGCATCTAGTTCAAATATGAATTAAGGAATTTATCAAAAGGTTTCTAACAAAATATATTTAATGTCACCATACCTATAGGGTGCAAGAAACATCAAAATATTAAAACTTTTATTTGCAAACTTGCTAAAGTAAATACCCAACTACCAATAATAGTAATCTTTGTTTCACTGACAAC